AAAAATAAAATGACCGTCGCCGCTAAGCGTCACTACTGACCCGGTCGTCCCCCCCAATTTTTTTTTCATTTCATTTTTTTTTTCAAAAAAAAAAAAAAAAATTATAGCCGCAGACGCAGCCCTATTTTTTTTGCACTGTATTTTTTTAAAGGTGCGGATGCCGCAACATTTTTTTTTTTTTTTTGTTAGTCGATGAATGAATGTCAAAAAAGATAATATACGCATGACAATAAAAAATGTGATGCCAATTTTTTTGACAATCAATAAAAATGATGTCCATTTTTTTTCTTTCTTCTTTTGGTTAAAAAAAGAATAGAATCCTTTTTTCTCATTCAAATTTTTTGATTACCGCCATAATTATCCTTCAATCAATTTGGATATTTTGTAGCTATATTAACTATCATCAATAAAGAGAGATGGATCAAAATAGAATCGAATTCATTTTTATTGTTGATTGAATCACGTTAAAATTCAATTTTCATAAAAAATATTGAAAAAATCTAATATGTTTTCGCGAAATGAAACAAATGATTATTTTTTTTATACCATTCAAAATTTATTCAATTTTTTTGTTTGTTTCACTTAGAAATAGAAATTCCACATAATTGTGTGTTGGTGGTTGTTGGATTATTGTGATTTTCTTTTTTTAGAATGACATGCAAGCAAATACATATTTTTTTTTGTTGTTTTGTTGAATATATTTCTTGATATAAACACTGAGAGACACAAGATGACATGAAAACTTCTGTTTATGAATATAATAAAATAAAAAAATTTTTTTTTTTAACAATCTTAAATATGGATGTTAATTAAGATGGTGTTGGAATTGGTGTGTGTATTGTGTGTTTGTCTGTCTGTTTTATTTGTGAGAGAATGTAGGTTTTTGTTTGTTTGTGTGTGGCTTCTGGCTAATTGGCAGACAATGCTAATTTAGAAACATTTACGATGAACAATTGATGGTCCTGATTCATCATATTCTTGTTTAGAAATCCACATCTGTTGGAAGGTTGACAATGAGGCCAAAATCGAACCACCAATCCAAACGGAATATTTTCGCTCTGGTGGAGCGATGATTTTGATTTTCATGGTTGATGGTGCCAATGCAGTGATTTCCTTTTGCATACGATCGGCAATACCAGGATACATGGTTGTACCACCAGACAAAACAGTGTTTGAATACAAATCTTTACGAATGTCGACATCGCATTTCATAATTGAATTATATGTGGTTTCGTGAATGCCATTAGCTTCCATACCGAGGAATGATGGTTGGAACAAAGCTTCTGGGCAACGGAAACGTTCGTTACCGATTGTGATGACTTGACCATCGGGCAATTCATATGATTTTTCCAATGACGATGAGCTAGCAGCAGTTCCCATTTCTGTTTCGAAATCCAAAGCTACATAGCAAAGTTTTTCTTTGATGTCACGAACGATTTCTCTTTCAGCGGTGGTGGTGAAAGAATAACCACGTTCGGTCAAAATTTTCATAAGGTAATCGGTGAGATCACGACCGGCAAGGTCAAGACGAAGAATGGCATGTGGAAGAGCATAACCTTCATAGATTGGTACAGTGTGTGATACACCATCACCAGAATCAAGAACGATACCGGTAGTACGACCAGAAGCGTACAACGAAAGCACAGCTTGAATGGCGACATACATTGCTGGTGTGTTGAATGTTTCAAACATAATTTGCGTCATCTTTTCACGATTGGCTTTCGGGTTCAATGGAGCTTCAGTCAAAAGAACAGGATGTTCTTCTGGTGCAACTCGAAGTTCATTGTAGAAAGTATGATGCCAGATTTTTTCCATGTCATCCCAGTTCGTTACGATACCGTGTTCGATTGGGTATTTCAAGGTCAAAATACCTCGTTTTGATTGAGCTTCATCACCAACATACGAATCTTTTTGGCCCATACCAACCATGACGCCCTAATTGATTCAACAAATTATTCATTCGATTAAAATAAGATGAAAGTAACACCGGGGCAAAGGTTAACATACCTGATGACGTGGTCGTCCAACGATGGATGGAAAAACAGCTCTTGGAGCATCATCACCGGCAAATCCGGCTTTGCACATACCGGATCCATTATCAATAACTAAAGCGGCAACATCATCGTCACACATTTTGGCAGATCTAAATTCAATAAAGTAAAAAAAAAAATTCAAAATCAACAAAAATCAAAATTTATTGATGTAATTAAAACATTGCTACTTATATATTTGCTTTACAACAATGAACAACTTAGAACTTACCAGAAAATAAAATTAGGATTTTCTTAACAACAAATTTAAAAAAAAAAAAATAAGAAAATTGGTCTGTAATTGATTTATTTCACTGATTTTTATTACTGATTTAAAAAAAATACTGCACTACAAGACACCTTTCACCGAAAAATTAATTACAAATAAAGAAAAGATTGAAAGAAATCTTTTTTTGGCTATAGTTTGATCACACACAAGGAAACAAAAATTAATAATTTTTCAATGGTAGAACAATAAGAGAGAAAGAAAGAAAGCTGACGTCAAAAATACAAGTCTTTATATTGCTGTTGTCGTTGTCATCGTCGTCGTCGTCTTCGTTGTCGATATATGAGCTGAAAAAAAGATAACCACCATATAAAAGTAGCAGCTGTATTGTAGATATGTATGAGTATCTTCTTTTGATGTATACTTGTGTATATGATGTGTCTATAGACATACAGACATAGAGTGAAAAAAGATGAGGAAAAATAAAATGACCGTCGCCGCTAAGCGTCACTACTGACCCGGTCGTCCCACCCAATTTTTTTCATTTCAATTTTTTGTTCAAAAAAAAAAATTATAGCCGCAGACGCAGCCCTATTTTTTTGCACTGTATTTTTGTTAAAGGTGCGGATGCCGCAACATTTTTTTGTTAGTCAAATGAATGAATGTCAAAAAAGATAATATACGCATGACAATAAAAAAAATGTGATGCCAATTTTTTTTGACAATAAAAATGATGTCCATTTTTTTTCTTTCTTTTGGTTAAAAAAAGAATAAAATCCTTTTTTCTCATTCAAATTTTTTGATTACCGCCATAATTATCCTCCAATCAATTTGGATAATGATATTTTGTAGCTATATTAACTATCAATAGAGAGATGGATCAAAATAGAATCGAATTCATTCGAAAATCTTCTTCAAACATAATTCTCATTAAATCTATTTTTTATTGTTGATTGAATCACGTTAAAATTCAATTTTCCAAAAAATATATTGAAAAAAATCTAATGTTTTCTCGAAATGAAACAATAATTATTTTATACCATTCAAAATTTATTCGATTTTTTTTGTTTTGTTTCACTTAGAAATAGAAATTCCACATAATTGTGTTGGTGGTTGGATTATTGTGATTTTTTTTTTTAGAATGACATGCAAGCAAATACATATTTTTTTGTTGTTGTTTTGTTGAATATATTTCTTGATATAAACACTGAGAGACACAAGATGAAAACATGAAAACTTCTGTTTATGAATATAATAAAATAAAAAAATTTTTTTTAACAATCTTAAATATGGATGTTAATTAAGATGGTGTTGGAATTGGTGT